GACCTAATAAAACGGTTTCACCATAGCAAACCTGTACGGCAAAACAGTGTAAAATCATTATGTGACATGCCCAGGTTTCAAGAAGACCGAACATGGAAACCGTCCGGACTCCCAATGGAGCTGAATTTGAACGTGCTAAGGTGGAAGCCAATCCGTATCAAACTACTCGTGAACTAGTAGTCACTCTTGGGGAGTCAGCCCACAGCTATTCGTGGTTGAAGTCAATCGGCGAGGTGCGAAGGATCGGTCGATGGGTGCCGCATGCTTCGAAGCAGTATGACATGGACTGCCGCGCCGACATGGCACTTTCTCTCCTCAAGCGCAGAAAACGGTCAGATGTATTTGCTAGTGAGTATTTTATAAGAGCTTTCTAAACTCTATCTAACGATGCCTCGCGCGTCCATTTTCATCACCCTCTTACTAAGTTGCGATCTCTAGAATTCATCACTATCACAATGTCCGAGGACTTGTGAATCAACCTAGTACTTTGAGTCGCAGCTCGCCGAGTTCTTCGGAAGAGGAATCCATTCATTGCGTAATCTTTGGCGAGAAGTTATTGATAGTAATGGAGATTATCTTTTGAATTGATCTTGTTTGGATTCGTTTTTATAATAGAAAATTTTTTGAGCTGAAACGCGCATTTCTTCCCGAACAGCCTGATAATATTCCATCCCTCAACTTGACCCAACAGTCATAAGCGGTTTTTGATCCAGTTATAGTCTGAGCAGGCCATTATTACTAACGTGACTGCTGCAATTATTATCGAAGTGGCAATTATTCGCCATTCTCGATACAGATCGCATTCTAGGCTTCGCTACCTTTAACATTTGAGATCACTTTTTTTGCAAAGTCAACTCTAAGCAAGTCTCAAGTCTGCTCCATGAAATCTATTGATATGAAATCATCCAGAAAGTAGTTCTGGATGACTTCCTTGCTCCGCTTAATTGAGTATTTAAAAACAACAATGAGGATGATATTTGTTCCCTAATTAGAGCTAAAACTCTCCAACATTGAGTTGGAAAGTAAGATGATTCGGTCCGGAGGAAGATTGGGAGTCTACTGATAGCTGTTGTTTTTATTAGACCTTCCTTATGCGGCCGAATAAATCTCAGAAAGTGTTCTCGAAGCTAACGAAGAGCACATACTGGGAAAGCGCACTGAAGAGCTTCAACTGATCCCGCAGGTTATTCAAATCATCCAGCAATCTCAGCTTCTTAAACATCCCCTTTTTCTGGCCCAGTTCTGCTCACTTATCATAACTGTCCGTCAAAGTGAATTTCAGGTTCTACAAAGACACAATAACAACTACGGTTTGAACTTCCTGAGAAATTTTAGAGTCAAGAAAGTGAACAAGATAACTTGAAATAAACATAAACTAAATATGACCATGGTTTGTGGTCCATAGGTCATGAAACAACCGAAGAAATCTGAAGGATGCATTTTACGCGACCGTCTTTATGATGCTCACTGCCTCTGAATGCAAGCACCGTGAAAGGCAACAAACTTTGGAAAATTAGCGCGATTTACAATAAACATCCCACCACTTTATTTCTAGTGCGACTAGCTATTGTTTGTTTGTTGAAAGAAAATACTTTCAGGATGTCAGTATTCCCTGCTTCTCCCACAGAGAATCTACGTGCGCCAGATCCATTGGAACCGAGTTTACCTCACTGTGATGCTAGACAATGCAAAATCGAGGAGATCCATGAAGACGACGTCATCTACAGTACAATAATGTTGAAAACCTTGGAAACCGTAACTACAATAACCGTGTTAGCCGTAAGCTCATTCCTACTCGTGGTTCTACTCATTGGACATCGCCGTTTCACCGTGAGTCCAGTAAAGAGCCTCTGAAGTGCATACACTACGATAAACTTTAGAGAAATGCGCAAATGACCTTATTTACAGGTACCGTTCTTCAGAATTCTTACTGTACTTGTAGCAGTTATATCAACACGCTCTATACTGAGCATTTTTTTCAAACTGATTACCCTATGGACAGGAGGGCTCATTGCTAACCAAAATATTATCACATTAGTGGCAGATCTGTTTTTAAAAAAAGTGATAATTCTACTAATTTTTCTCCTGGCACTAGATCGTTTTGCTGTTATTTTGTGTGCTGCACTGGACAACCTATTATTCGGACGGTGAGGTTCAGTGTTGATGTTTACCTCCGGGTTTACTTTTTCCGTTTTTCTTCTCGTCTCGTCTCGTTTATGGAAAATTTAGATATCGCTACATAGCCCTATGCTTTGTGTGCTTCACAATCTCAGCAGCGGAAACATATGTCGTAATAAAGACATCGAACTTGCGGAGAGAGTTTTTGCCAAACATCGGATTTATAGACTACATCGATTCAGCTATGCCCTACGAAGTAAAGTGTTATTGCGTCTCTTGTTTGCAATTATTGGTTGCCCGAAAAGTTCCCGCCGATTTTCGATTCATCTTCGAATGAAAATTCATAGAAGAAGAAATCCATTGATTGAACACCATATCCTCCATTCTGTTTAGTAAGGAGTCGCCATCTTCCTGTGGGTTCCATTTCCCCACTTCCATAGAAGGTTCCAGATTTAAAATTGAAAAACCCTCTCAGGTGCTTTTTGCAGTCCTCCAGCGAATTGCTTTTTGCAGTCCTCCAGCGAATTGAACGATTTTCCATTCAAAGAGTTTTGCAGAAACCTAAACAACTGGTATTCTGATGGTGCTATGTCTGGACTATATGGGGGTGTGGTAAGACATCCCACCCAAGCTTTAGCAACTTTTGACNGACGAGTGGCCAAAAATGCGTGTGGTCTGGAGGTACCCTGTCGGAAGATTACGCCCTCATAATTGGCCATTTCGGGTCGCTTTTGGTCTATCGCTGCCTCCACATTTTCTAGCTAACTATAGTCCCTTTTCGAAGTCATCGTTTGATTATGCGACAACAGCTCATGGTGTTTTCCCTGGAATACCATCAGCAACTCGGCACCTGTATTTTGACTTTTGCAGCTAACTTTGTGACGGCTCACTAGGGAGCTCCACGATCGTTTCCGCTCCTCATTACTGTACACAATCAAATTTTCGTCCTCAGTGCTCATGCGTTTCAGAAACAGCTCATTTTCATTTCGTTTGAGCAACGAGTCGCACATGGAGGCGCGGTCTATCGCATTGCGCTCTCTCATTTCGAGGTATATCTAAAGATCAAGGCGCTTTACAAAACCAAGTGTCTGCAGATGACCATGGATGGTTGATTTCGGAACACTAAGCCCTTTCCCTACTCCACGAGCAGTGATGTGCCGATTTGCTTCGGTTACCATTTTGAGTTGCTCGTTTAAACTGACGGTAATCTCCCTGAGGGTTGCCGGTCTTCGAAGGCAAATTCACTCTGTTTGGACTTCGCAAACTAGTCATGCACTGTACGCTCCTCTAGGGCATGGTCTACTCAAACGTCATATATCTCCCATGCGGCTTGAGCCGCATTCTAGGCCTTGCGAAGAAATAAGAGAAGAAATACTTCAAATGTCGAAAATACGTGCAGTGGTTCTCCATTTTCATTCGAGTCCTGTACAGAAAAACTTCAACAAATGTTGACAGAATCCCAAAAGGAACATAGAGGAGGACCTACTCTTTCAGAAAACATGTAACTTCATTAGCTTGGGTCCTTGATCTTTTGTACGACGGTTGATAAATCCGGGGTGTCAAAAATCGGCGGAAACTTTTCGGACAACCCAATATATCACCATGCACACTGTACAAAATACACGAAAAAAGGGCTCCGCCAGAACGTTACAAATGTTAAACTACCTAGTCATTAATGACCAGCCTTGCAAAGGGTAGGACTGCTCCTCTCAAAAAACTCCTCTCATAGACTTATTCATAGATATTTTTGAGCTTCACTCATTATGACCCATCTGGTCACACCTTTCTTTGAATAATGGACTAATTTAGATGAACAACCTTCTCAGTCCACGCTCGCCAGTTTTACTCAAAGAGCGAGTCAGCCTATGAAACTTCCTCTTAAGTTTCCACTCATATCCATTGTTTTGCAAAGGATAATATCGAACCATTTGTTAGCTGTTCGGTAAAAATAAACAAGTAAACACTGAAAGAGTGCACTCACGGCTAGAAGTCGCACATCTAACGCGGATTGACCGCAAATTCTTCGCTTATGAACGGTACAGAAGATAAAGTAGACAAAGCAGCAAATCGTCCACTCCTTCACTTTCAAATCCAAAGCTTGAGAGGAGAACACTTGGTTTCGATCTGGCCGCCACCTCGTTACTCCCATTGAGATGGCTTGTTGTGATCAAAACTTCAGCCAGAAACGATACCTGAAACTGTGATCATGCTTTCCAAGTACCATGGTATTGCGACGAAATACCAGTGCTAAGAAAAAACATCAGGTCAAAAATTGGTACTTAATATTTTTGAATAACGGTGGTGCATTTGAGACTGAAAGTTCCACGGATGCCATTGCAGATTGACTGCGCAATTTCTTTGGCAGTAGCCTTCGCTTCCGTATGTTTGCATGTGATCATTTTTGTGCAGCTACTCTATCACCACCGTACAACCTCATTAAACACCGCTAAGGTTCGTTAATTGAAAAACTGATCCCATAGGTCACAAAAACTATTGCTTTAGTCGCAGCAAAGAATGTTTCGAGAAGTTGCTTCAATGGCCTTGATGAATGCGGTGAGTTATTGTTTCTGACGTTGCCGTAGTATGTACTGAAGGCAGAAGTAATCAAGTGGTCCATAATTTCTGATGCACTTTACATTTATTGTAGTAAAACGCCTTAAAAAAGGAGGGTAACATGCGCTCCACTTACTAACGAATCTAGTTGGAAGCCAGCTCTTTCACGAACCTTCACAGCACTAGTCTAGTGTTCCGAGTAATTTTCTGTTGTTATTCAAGGGCACAATAGGGATAGAAGTGGTTTCCCAACAAGTTTCTTTTGGATCGACACGGTAACTTTGTATTAGAAATTCCCGCATGAATACAGTAAGGTAATTGGAATATTGCCTTAATACGAGTCGAATTTCGGCTTCCCACCCAAACTGTCATCTGCATGGTCTTCTCGTGCAGTAGCCGGTATGGTCGCCGATGCTACCATCTAGGTGACCGGAGCGACGCAGAGCCAATGTGAACACAGCATGTGTGTGATCTCGAAATCTGCTACCCGTTAGGTACCGAACACAACCCAGCCGTCCAAACCCTCCAGCTTCGATTACATGATAACGACTCGCCTGAGAGAATAAAAAGCACTAACCCCTGTGCCGGTTGTCCCCAGCAAAGGTACTGTTGCTTAGGCCAAAGAAGCACCATTTTTTGGTTGTCAAAACGAGCTGCTCAAAGGAGAAACTCTCCTAAAGTATCGTTGTGACATGAGGAAAATTCTCTAGTGAGTACCGATGCCTACACCATTGCTCGATAGCGTCGCACATCAGCTGGAGGGTGGAGAACAAGTAGCCTCTTCCTTCAAGACAATAACCGAACGGGAGAAACTGAAGACTGTCAGAGTGATAAGCCTTATGAGTCTGACTTCACCCTGCTTTCTAATCTCTGATTGCTCTGATTCTTGGCACATTTTTAGAGCAAAAATTTTCTATAAGCAAACATTATTCACAAATAACGCCCCTTTTGACTATATGCGGAACGAAGTCATGGGAAAGGCATTATTTTCGAGGCGATGATAGCATTGATGACACTTGTACATTATAGCGGTATGTAATTTCCAAAAACAGCACCAAAACAGCCGATATGTTTCAGAATTTATGGACCAAAAGGGATCGATATTGATTACGAAAACATTCTTTCGGAAACCTATTTCTTTCAGGTATTCACTTTACTATTTATCGTCCTCTACCATATACCCTATTCCAATGAGTTACGGATCATGATCATCAGTTTTTACAATATATTGTGTTTTATTCCGGAAATTCTTATACCGGCTTTCATACTAATCGGATCTCGTGAAGTTCATGCAGAAATCTCATCCAGACTTTCTTCCGTCAAGAAAATCAAGTCAGCTCTACCTCGTGGAACCGTCACACAAACCTAAGAGCAAGGATGACTCATTCTTCATTCCTTCGAGATAAGTGGTACAGCCAAGCTTCTAGTCTAGTCCGAAGTCGTTTTGAGATAAGAAAACACAATCAGGTACCTATGGAAACTTACAGGATCCTTGTTTCGCCTGATACTGCTAAGTTGACAATCCAGATTCACTGCAGATTATGTTTTGTTTTTTGCTTATTTTATTGCTTATTTTACATATTGTCAACAATGAATCTCATGGGTATAACATAAATATCACATGTCTTTCATATCTACAGTGAATTGTGAAGGCTTAAGTCTAATCTGAGCTTTATGGACATTCGATGCTGAATCCTTCTCGACAAAACCCTTCTCGCTGCTTTAAAATGAGGATGACGGAATTTTTATCAATGTTGTTGTTATTAATATTGCACGTCACTGATACTAGTATGATACTTAAAAAACCCCGTTGTAACAGTGTAGGATTCATTTTAACTCTTTTTTCCTAACCGCTTCTGATTGCATTCAAAAGGCTTGTCGACGAGTCGACAGACGAAGACTACATTACTTAAGGTCGGTTTTCAATCTCACGTAATAACAATACAGTTCAAAAAGTTCAAATTACGTCAGCCGAATGTTTCGAATTGGAAAGAGAGCTTCTCAAGCTCCAGCTGGCTTTCTCACAAAGACTACAGTTAGGGTTTTTAGGTGAAACTTTTGAGTTCAAAAAAACTAAGTGATTCAAGCATACTTTCATGAAGTGGCTCCGCTTCGCTCTCCATTACCCCTACTGTGACTAGCTAGTTCTCGCCCTAATATCAATAAAATCTCCCGACCGTTGA